GTATAAACAACGAGTGTACGACAATGTAACTCGTCTCATATTAATTTCATAAAACTTTAAAATGCAGTAATGTAATAAAAGCGGTAAAAGGAATAAAAATGCACATATAAGTTTAAAACATGTATTAAATCAGATAACTAGGCCAATTATTAATAGTTGAGCGACCGTGCTAAAATCACGAAACTCGGGAGTGCCTCACACCTTCTCTCGGGTTAACAGAATTCCTTACCCGGTCTTCTGTGTTCGCAGACCATAAATAGGAGTCAATTTTCCTCGATTTGGGATTCTAAAATAAATCGGTGACTTGGGACACCATAAATTATTTCAAGTGGCGAGTCTGAATAAACAAATAATCTCATTTCGAATAATGTCACTTAAATTGGAAAAATTCCCTATCCCCCGGGAAAAAGGAGGTATGACAAAAGCTTTTTTTTCTTTCTTTCTTTTTTTAAACCCCTCCCAAATTTAGTTGGAAGCGTAAGCTGAAAGAGTTGATCAGAGTTTGACTTTTGTATAGCCGACTTCAGAATGGTGTTTAAATAGTCTCAATAGTTTCGTATGGTGATTTTGAACTTAGGCGTATGTTCGGATATTGATTTGGAGGTCTGTAGGTCATTTTGGCATGAATTGACGAAAGTTGAAAAGTTGAAGGTTTGGAAGGTTGAGAGATTTGGCCGAGAGTTGAATATATTGATAGCGGGCTCGAATTTTGGTTTCGGAAGTTGGAATAGGTCCGTTGTGTCATTTGGGACTAGTATACAAAATTTGAGGTCATTCGGAGATAATTTGATATAGTTCGGTATAGGTTTTAGAAGTTGGAAGTTCATTAGTTTCATTATGCTTGAATTGGGGTGTGATTCGTGATTTTGATGTTGTTTGATTTGATTTGAGGTTTTGACTAAGTTCGTATCGTGTTTTACGACGTGTTGGTAAGTTTGGATGGGGCCTCAGGTGTGATTCGGATTGAAATTGAATTGAGATTTGGACTTAAGGAATTGTGGAGCTTCAGGTCTGGTGTAACAGCACATGCGTGGTCTTGGTTGCAGGTGCAGAGCCGCAAAAGCGTCCTTTGGGATCGCAAAAGCATATTTGAATGGAGGTGGGATGATGCGCAGGTGCGAAGGAAGTCCCGCACCTGGGAGCTCGCAGGTGTGGGCAGCTGAGCGCAGAAACGAAGAGGAGCAGAGGCATGGGTTTCCGCAGATGCGGAGCTGAGGGCGCAGGTAGGTGCGCATGCGCAAAAAGACATATTTGGCCACAGAAGCGGAGCTTGGTTGAAATGTTTGCGACTGCAGAAGCGGGATATTAAGTGCAAATTGCGCTTCCGCATGTGCGATATCCATTCCGCAAAAGCGAATGGTCGGGGAATTAATGAAATTTTGCATCTACGTTAGAATTGTTCGCATGTGTGGTGTCGCATGAGCGGTGGATGGAGGCACAGGTGCGAAAAGCCTGAGCAGAAGGTTAAAATCGAGGGTTTTCATTGTTTTCATATTTTTGGAATTGTGGGACTCGATCTAAGGAGATTTTTGGAGCATTTCGATCTCATCCCAATTGAAGAGGTAAGTGATATTTATTCGATTTTGGTGTTAGATATTCATTACATATTGATTATTACACCTAATTTTCATAAATCTAATATGGAATTTGAGGATTTTTGGATTATGTATTAGAGAGTGAGATTTGAGGATTTGAGGGTCGATTTGTGGTCGGAATTGGATGAATTTAGTATGGTTGGACTCGTAATTAAATGGGTGTTCGGATTTTGTGAATTTTATCAGATTGCGGGGTGCAGGCCCGGAGTTGAATTTTTGGTTGACTTTCTGATTTTGATTAAAGACCTTAGCTTTATCTTTTGAAATTGTTCCTATTAGGGGTGTACGTGAGGCGGTTTGGTTCGGTTTTTTATTAAATCAAAATCAAACCAACTATGTCGGTTTACTAAATTTATAATCAAATCAAACCGACATAAACTCGATTTTTTCGGTTTCGGTTTTTTCGATTTTCTCGATTTTTCGGTTTATTTTCGGTTTCCTTTTTAGTTATATTATGCTTGAAAAGAGAGATCAAATAATCACCAATTGTCCGCATGATTACTATTCATTAAAATAATACATGAGGAAGAGCAATTATTCGTATGAATCATAATTTCAAGACCTTCCATAATAGAAAATAACAACAAACATGTGATAAACCAAAAGCTACAACCCAACTTATAGTTCCACAAAAAATATTAAGTTAATTAAAGTTGGCCTAAACAGCAAGCAGCCAAGCAGCATGAATAGGTTGACACTATTTAGTTTAACTGAAGTTCTGAACTAATCAATATTCAAAGGGTACCCTGGACATTCTGGAAAAAAAAAATAGTTACATGTTAAACAATATAAAAATAGAATCAAATTCATTACAAATTAAATATATAAAATTATCTTCTTCAACTTGCTCAATTTTCTTAATTTCTTCCAGATAGTCTTGAAGCTTGCATTTCTTAGGTGACTTTATCCATTGTTGAGTGCAAATAAGAGCTCTTACCGTCTTTGGTGATAAAGAACTTCGGTAAGAATCGAGAATTCGACCGCCGGTACTGAAAGCTGACTCGGATGCAACAATAGAAATAGGAATTGAAAGAACATCCCTTGCCATTTTTGAAAGAATTGGATATTTACTAGATGAAGCTTTCCACCAAGCCAAGATATTTAAATCCTTGGTCTTATCTACATTATCCGTCAAGTATTTCTCAAGCTCAGATTTTTTCTCAACATCTCCCTCATCTTCCAAATGTTTCGCCCAGCGAAATAGCAAAATATCACCAACTTCACTCACCATACTAGTTTCACCTCTAGAATTGTCATTAGAAGATTTAGAGAAAGAATTATTGTAATGATCATATAAACGAGTCAAAGCACCTGTCACCTGATCTGATTTTAATTTTCCCACCAAAGGATTATATGATATACTGAGAATGAAGTTCACATGCTTCATCTTATATCTGGGATCCAACACAACAGCAATGAACAATAACATGTTCAAATTCTCAAACATACCCCAGTATTTATCAAACTTTCCTTTCATTCTGTTAGCCATATCAATCAAAATAAGATCTTCACTATAAGAATACTTTATAATAGCATTTCGAACATTAAAAAATTCATGGAAGAATGCATTCGAAGTAACATATAAGCTTCCTAAAAATTTTAAAGTGGTCTGGTAAAAAATATTAAGGAACATGATAAAAGCTTTCACAATCTTCCAATCATCAGCAGATGGATGTCTTTTTGTTACCTCTCGACAATACTTTTGGTACTTATGGTCATCCACGTACATTCTTGTAAAGGCTTTTTCAAATTTCACAGTTGTATCTAACATTGTATATGTAGAGTTCCACCTAGTCTTAACATCAAGACTCAAAAGACCATGATTGTCTATCTTAACTTTCTCAACATGTGACTTGAAAGAAGCAAACCTTGAAGAGGAAGACTTGACATATTTTAGCGCATTTCTAATACGATAAATGGGCTCAATTTGTTCATCTAATCCATCTTTTACAATCAAGTTCAAAATATGTGCATTACATCTAACATGTAAAAACTCATTTCCCAATATTACTCTTTTCTAGTCATCAATACGTGCCTTCAAATGCTTAATAGCAGCATCATTCGCACTTGCATTATCTAGCATCACCGTAAACAAGTTCTCAATACCCCACTCTAACATACAAGCTTCAATACCCTTAGCAATAGTCTCTCCCTTATGATCTGGTGTTTGGAAAAAGTTAAGTATCTTCTTTTGTATATTCCATTCATCATCAATCCAATGGGCGGTGACAACCATATAAGCAAAATTTTGGAGTGATGACCATGTATCACTAGTAAGACATACATGTTGGTTCTTGATAAGTTTTTTCAGTTTTTCTTTCTCCTCTTGATAGATCTTCAAACAATCTCTAGCCACAGTTACACGAGAAGGTAATTCAGAATTAGGCAAAGCCTTAGCCATTAACTTTTTAAATCCTTCTCCCTCAACAACTTTAAATAGCTGCTCGTCAATAATAACAAATTTCAGGACCAACAATCTAAGATAACAATTATACCTAAATTTAAAGGGACAAAATAACATAATTGGTTTAATCAAATACTTTAGCTTACCAAATTATATTGGAGTAGTAAGACTAATATATAATTACAAACTTGAACAGTGGCTCGAAATTGCAAAGAAGGAAGCTCATCGTGAAGTGGATGGAAGGGTTTTCACTATTTGGGGTTCTTTGACTTTGGAGTTGGAAGATAGGAAAGATACGGAAGAATGAAGACAAAGAATAACTTATTTTATTGTCTTTTCTTATTGGGTTTTAGTTTGGGCTTCAAATTTGGGTTGTGTAGTTAGAACTTAAAATCTATTAAGTGGATAGTGAATTTACAAGCCCACAAATAAATAATATCTCAAGACATTGAAAACTATAAANCACAAGTCGGTATTTTTCTTCGGTTTGACTTGGTTCGTCGGTTCGGCTTGGCTTGACGGTTTGGCTTGTACACTCCTAGTTCCTATAGCTATTATTGATGGAATTTTTTTTTCTTCTTCTTTTTTTGTTTTTTTTTGTTTTTACTTTTTAAATATAATGGTTTTTCTCTTTTTAATCTACATTATGTACTTACCTATAGAACAAATATATTAAAAATATTATTTATCTAGCTTATATAATATCGGAATAATATAATTGAGTGTAATTTTCAAGAATATATAATATGTATATTATAAAAATACCTTTATTTTAAATAATTATTTTTTATATTATGTGCATGGGATACATATTTTATAACTTTTATTTTATTTTATTCTCAATTTTGTTAATAAAATTTTGAATTTTTATTGTTAATATAAAAATTATTATTACGAACTTTTGAGTGCTATAGGCATAGTTAAGTAACGTTGTTGTTACAAACGAAAGAAAGATGACTTTACTAGATAATTGAGTGACCATTTGAGTAATGGACTCGTTATTGTCACATAGTAATTCATTGTTCTTGCAATTGCTAGACGTATTCCATGATAGTTCCCTCTTTACATATACAACAGCAAAAGCCACAACAACATCAAGATGTTCTACTTACTGGGCAAGAGGTCATAATTTCATAGAACATCGCTTTCATCTTAGCACTGTATCTGCACTTGGATTGTCACCCTATTCTTTAGATCCAATACTACGTAGGATTTATTTTACATTTTACATGCCCGTGGCATAATATGTACAAGCTAAATCACTTTAGTAGCACATCCCTTATAGAACTACAGAAGCTAGCTGAACAATTAGCATCTTCCATTTCACCTTTCCACTGGTTTTCCATTCTGAAAATTGATGTTGTCTTCTTTCATGGATAGTCCTGAGAAGTGAGACTTCAAGCCGATCCAGCATTGATAATAATCATGATCCATAAATGGAGATTCAAGTGCCCACGGACAGACTCGGGGTATTAGACAAGACTCGAACATAAAAGCCATTGTATCAGCTATTTTATGTGGACCAGCTTCATTTCCAAGTGCAATAGTAGCCTGTCAATGTTTTATGGCAGCAAGGTTGTGAATGCAAAAGTACATAGCATGTATAACTAGTATATGATTTATAGATCTCAAGCGCTTGGATTAAACTAAGTTGCGCGGACTCTTCGTTTTTGGTGCCGCGCCCGTCTCGACACGGGATGGGAGCGGGATACGTCACGGATTCGGTCAACTAACTTCGGATACTTTGACCTGAGTCCATCGACAAATTTGGGAGAAAATTGAGATTTTGATTTCTCAAAATTAAAATTAAAACAGATTTAAGACATGGAAAATGGCAGGCCTTCAATATTGTAGTACTTTTGTCTCATATTTGCTGCTTTGTGTTTCAAAAAACCCTTGAATTGTTCTGAGTTCGGACTTCGGTAGACAGTAGCAGCGATATAGATGGAGCGTTGGTGGAAGGCCTTGAATGGCTTTCTTTTTCTCTTTATAGCTCTATTTTTTATAATTTAGAATTTTTTTTAGTCGAATCCCCGCACCCGTATTCATACCTGGATCCGCACCCAGATTTTGTCGAATCTGACACTCGGATCCGTGCCCGTATCGGATGCCCGCACCCGAGTCCGAGCAACATACGATTAAAGTATTCACTTGGACTATTATATCCCTGATTTTTATATAACAACAGATGGCTAGGTTATGATTCACTTATCACAAGCATTTGGACTAACTAGTATAGTTTTGCCCAATACGCAATGTTGTAAGAAAAATAGCTGAGACAATATACTGCACTTGCACTGCAGATGTATAGAAACTTGAATTGAATTGGATGAATTGCGTATGATAATTAAAAAACAAAAGGAATTTTGGGATAAGCACTTTTGGTCCTCAGTTATTGGTAAAATTCTGATTTTGGACTTGTAATGTTTAGCTAAGCACATTTAATCTTCAACCAACTAAAATGTATGTTTTATGTTCTATTATATAGGAAATATTGATATTTAATTTTTTTTAAGAATTACTCTCAAATATGGAGTAACAATACAAATTTAACATAACACATTCGTAATTAAATGGTTTAGCACTTAATGATTCGTTAAATTTGTTAAGATTCATAAGTAGAAGAACCAAAAGTGCATATATTACGTAAGTGCTTAACCAGAAATCACAAGGACCAAAAAAATCAGAATTTGCCGACATTTGAGGGAGTAATAACACAAATTTCCTTATAAATAAAGGCACATGCGTGGGGAGGAGAAAGAAACATGGCCATAGAGGAGGGAGGTATAGAACAGGAATCGTACCTCATACGTTTTGGTATCGGGACCATGAGGAGTCATGCAGCTATGAAGGCTAGCCCCACCAGGGTGAAAACCATCAGCTTTTGCCTGAAACAAGTTAACAGCATTAAAAGTGAAACAACCCCGGAATTGAGTATGACTTCATGCAAGTAAGATAAACAACCTCGTAACCCCCATAGATTAGACCCATAAATTCGCTCATACAATTGCGATGATAATATGGAGGACGGAAGGTGTGTTCAGCAACCAACCACCGGGGAGGAAAAATGACAAAGTCAAGTAATGCCACACCAGGTTTATCCGTTGGTGCTGTCAAAACTGCATTAATTTAAGAAACTAGATCAAATGAAACCAGCACAATGACAATTAACAGATGACAGAACAGCACTAATACCAAGAACAAACGGTAATTTAATAAACCTTACCAACCTGTATTTATTGAAGGATCACTGTGGTCAATCAGTACAGTATTGTAAGGGCAGAACTTGCTTAAATCATACTGCAAATTGAGAAAATAGTTTGCTTCAGCACTTAGGAGACATTCGGTATTAAGTTTCTGTGTAGCAACTTAATTGGATAAAATCTGAGCAAGGCACCCATATTATGAGAGATTGAAACACGGAGAAACACCCGCCTTATAAGGAACATAATTGCCATGCCAAGCGACCACATTAAAAGGAGAAAAGTCTTGCTTCGCAGTGAAGAGTTCACCACCATACTTCTGCACAATAGTGTAACCTGGCTGGGAGCCATCTTCATACCAGGCAACAGGAACAAGAAAATCCCTCGGAGCAGCCAGACCATTTGCACCTAATTACATATTCAAACGCATATCATCAGCAAACAATATCACCTCTCAATAGCAAGTAGTTTTGCACTTTCTAAAGCACCTATTGGCCCCAGATCAGGAAGTTGAAGATGAGTTCCAAAAATTTCAGCAACGTAACCACGTGAAGGTCCATCTGGAAGGTCAACAGAAAATCGAAATCCTTGAGGCAAAATCACTATTTCACCAGGAGAAACCTGCAATCTTCCGCATTCAGTTGTAATCCACAGCCCTACATGACCAACAGAGTAGTTAGAAAGAGTTTCAAGGCACGTGTTAACAAATTTGGGGCTGAATAAGAGCAGATGGATGACACCTGACTGATTGTCACTTACTTCCTTGTTGAGGAACAATCAGAAAATCACCATCGGCATTGCAGAAGGCACAGTTCTCCATTGATTTGTTGGCAGTGTACCTGCATTTTCGATAATGCTCAGTAATTATCAAAGACGTCCACTATCACTTGATCTACTGAACTTCAGATCTAATTGCACCCGTACCTAGAATAGCAAGATGCTATATTATCAGAAAATATATCCAGACCCCAAAACAAAGAAGCCAGACATTCTTCATGTCAACCTATGAGTGAAACCTGATTCCTAATTTGGTGTCTACAAACATCATCTCTAATAGGGGTTATGCTGAGTTGATATTCCACACAGATCATTATCTATCCACAAGAAAAGATAGCAGAGTTGTGGTCCGCCACAGATCCGATTTACATTCGGGTTAGAAAGCATATAGCAACAGAATTAGTAGCCAATCCCTAAGAGTAACTGCTCTTATCCAGAGCATAACGCATCTCAATCCTAATGATATATTCACTAGAAAAAAACATAAATAAGCAAGAAACAACTATATCTGAAACTCCATCTAAATTACATAGTGTTCATAATACTAGATCCCGTGTTGCTCGGACTCTCCAAAAATATTGCCGGGTGTGTGCCGGACCCTCCAAAAGTAGTGTATTTTTTGAGGATCCGACACGGGTAGGGCAATAATTTTGGAGAGTCCGTGCAACATGGACTAGATCAAGTTTGAAATACCAATTACATGTGAATTGCAAAACCATGCCGGAGATATGAGCTGCCAGCCCCGCATATCGTGTACAAACCATCAATGAAATCTGTTGGTGTTTCTGGTATCTCCACCGGCTTCCACCTTAGTTGAGTTGGTGTGGCAGAACTGTTTGACTGGTCGAACTCACTCACAAGCTTTTCATGTCTTGGTAGTCTTGGTCTAAATGGTTCATGTGTAACTGATAGCTTAATACGATATAGCCAACTGCACAAAGAGAAAATTCCCATAGTCACACAACCAATTTATCAATCAACTACGTGTCAATCCTAAATGAGTAGGAGTGACTATACGAATCCTCAACATCCATTAGAAAGAAAAAAGAAGTTCATTTTCATTAGCTTTTTATTTTTGGGGATTCACTTCATTAGCTTCTATATGAGTTTAACTTGTGTGCACTGCTGATTTAAAAATATTTATACAATACTTAAGACTTATGAGGTAAATGCAGATAAATCACTATAATACGCATTAATTGATAACTTGATAAAAATGGTAACCAACCTGCTATAATAGGTTAAACTACACTAACTGTCCAACAACAACTAATTGTCCAACAACTAATCAACCATTGAAAAGGGGGGCAGTAATGTTGATCAAAGAGTCACTCCCTTCCTGCTTTACTGAATCTTTTCGAGCTGTTGTTATTAATTGTACTCAGTTTTAACTAACATACTAACAAGAACTATGCTAAAATAAATCAATAATGTTTTGGAGAGAGAGAGAAGTGAAACCTGCGTTGGTTAAGTTTGCGAGGGGAAGTAAAAGAGGTGCCAGAGATCTGCTCAGCATAAAGGCCAAAGGGGCAAATAAGAGGACTGTTTTGACCTTGAGGTAGAGCTCCAACTATAGCTTCAGATGAGAAGTGATTCCCGAATCCTGATTGGTACTCCAAATCAGAGGGAAATTTGTTACAACAGTGGGAAGTGATACTGCTATCTTTGCACTCCATTTTCTGGATAGAGTTGAGTGATGGAGTAGTATTTATTTTTAGTTTTGGAGACACGGTTGTAGAGTTGTAGTGGCAACGTTGTCTGAAAGTAGACAAGTAGTCCTAGGAAGGAAAGCGGTGCTGTCGTGGCACCATGATCCTTTACAAAGAGTCGTGCAGGTTTGAGGAAACTGGGTTTGATATATATGTCGTTATTTGTCTTCCATCAGAGCTAGCCAATTAGGCTGTGCCACGTCGCTGCGTCTTGCTTCTTCGCCCTCTCTCCTCCCAACTACCCCGCAACCCAAACTAAATTAGCTAAATGATTATTATTGTCTTAGTTTGACTGTAACAAACTTTAAATACTTTACATTCAAACCTTCTGCCCTATGTTCCTAAGAAATTTTAGTACTTCCAAGTACTTATATTCTGGTTGTTTTGAGATCTTTTACAAGAACTCTCATTCGACTTTTTCTCAAACCATCGAGTGTACTCTTTTAACTTCCTCTTTTTCCTTATTTCTTCTCTATAAAGAAATGACGAAAACTTCCAAAACCATTTCCCAAAAAGTAACTCTTTCTGCCTCGGGACTGGCTACCGAAGAGACCGCTTCACGTACTGCTGTCGAGGAGCCAGCACCGGAACCTCCTCTAAAAATGTTCATCCTGGGGGATGCCCGGTCAATACTGACTTCAAAGTCGAAAAGCCCTCCTCCGCACCAGGTCGGTGTGAGGAGGTCTCGAGGTACATCTGCTTGATCACCGAGGATATTCTCTCTGACGTCAATAAGGATTGTAACTGGGCTGACAAACATGCGGTGGTTCCCGAACCTGACGAAGCCATCACCACCCACGTGGAGGAATTTTTAAGTGTTTACACTTATCCCTTCACGTTGGGCCCTTTGGACCCGGTTATCATCAATTTTTGTAAAAGATACGAGGTAACCCTCGATCAAATTCACCCTTCTTTCTAGAGGATCGTAATTCTCCTCCGTTTCTTTGTGAGCAAGATCGAAGGGTGCCCTTTCACGATCAACCACCTTATGCATTTATACAGTCCCCGACTCTACCGAGGAGGACTGATCAAGCTCGCTCGTCGGGCCAGTAAAGCCGCTTTCTCGAGTATCGATGAAGATAAGGATCGAGGTTGGCTAGGCCGTTTCGTTCGAGTAAGGACCTCAGACTTGATCCCGGTCGAGCACATGTCGTTCCCTAAGAAGTGGAACATAAAACGTAAGTATATAATTTTGCTTCCAAGATTTTATTTATCGCCATTTTCCTTCCTTCTCTTATCAGTGTTCTGTGATGGTACAACTATTGCTCGGATCCCGAACGCAGTTCCTCGACTCAAGGAATAGGTCGAGGACATCGTGTCACAAAGGCCTTATTCCGAGCGCTCATGGCGTGAGCTTTCAAAGGGTCGATGGGAGGCCCGTTAGCACGGTGAAATCTCTTTCATGAGTAATTTTTGGTTTCCCTTTTGCACGACTAAGTTCACACTTGTTTTTTTTTTTTTTTTGTAGGTTTAACCAAGGATGTCAAAATGAGACCTCCATACGGTAGTGACGATCTCCCCACTGAGTCCCCTGCTCCGAAACAGAGTGAAGGGAAGAAGAGAAAAGGGGCTCCGAGTTCTCCGAGCTCGGAGAAAAAGAAACTAAGGAGGAGGCTGATCCGCAAGCCAAAAGAAACCTCCAGCTACCGAATACCTGATTCAGACTCCCTCTACCAGCTCAGGGACGAGTCCAAAGGGGATGAAATTTTAGTGGCGCGGGAGCCATCGATCCCTGAAGAACGGGCATCAACCGAAGGAGTGGAACGATAGAGGCCAATCCCTCCCAAACTCAAGAGGTCGATGCATCAGTGAGGGTCGAGAACCCTCAAGACGCCGGTTTTGCTCCACCCTGTGTCGTTGATATAACGGGATCACCTTCATTCACGGACTCAATGTTCGGTGAAGCTCAAGCAGCGAATGAGATTTCAAATGAGAGGGTTCAAAGAGGGAACGATCCCCTCCAAAGCTTTTTCCATGGCGTGGACTCTATTGCCACGGAGGATGTCACCGGATTGGGTGATTTAGAAGTACCAAGAAGAAGTTTGCTCTCGAGGACAGGTGGGTCTACAAGCCCAATATTGGTCAACCGATTCCCTGCACCGAGTGTTGATCCCAGTCGGAAACGGTCGATCGTTATCTCTGTTCCAGAGGATGCCCGGGTCCTTTACGTGCCTGTTAGAGTAGCTAGTTACCTCCGGTGCCTGTGACTGAAGAAGACCACACAAAGATGAACGAGGTGGAATCTCCATGCTTGTTCAACGAAGCACAGCAAACATTGAATCGAGTATGGTGTTACCAAGCCTTTTCATTTTCCAGCTTTGGTTACTTGATGATCTTAACATTTTTCCTTGTATTCGCAGGCCTCGGTGTTTCACCACGAGACCTTCCTCCTATATCGAGAAGAGTTGAGTCTGCTCGAGGCCGAAGCCAAAGAGCATATTGATAAGGGAGATATGTACAAACTTCTGAGTGAGCAACGCGAAGGGGAGGTCAAGAGTCTCCCAGTTGAGCTAGAGGTGGCTCGAAAGGAGCATGCCGACTTGGTCGAGCAGGTAAAAATATTTGAGGTTAGTGATGAAGAGCTAAGCTCGGTGACTAACGAACGGAATCCACAGGTCAAACAAAAAGTCGATCAAATCAGTCAATTGCGAGATGAGATGGATGTTGTTAAGGCCGAGACCGACGAATGGAGGGGCAGAATGGATCGTCTGGCCTCGGAAAAAGAGGTTGCTCGGGCGCAACTGACTTCGGCTGAGGTCCAGCTTCGAGCAGCAAAGGAAAAGGCCGAGGTGTAGGCCAAAAAGGTTGAAGATCTTGAGTCTCAGCTAAGCTCGGCTGCCTCTGATCGAAAATTTATAGCCAAGGAACTTTAAACGGCTAAGTCAATGGTCGCGGTGGTTAAAGACGACGCCGAAGAGATGGTGGCCCAATATAAGGCCGATGCCAAGGCGGCCCAGGACCGCTTGAAGAAGATTGTCGACTATGAGAAGCGGCAGTCGCGAAGAGAGGCCCTCGAGGAGATTCATGCTTGGGGTTTCGATCTATCAGTTGAGATCGAAACCGCTAAGGGGATCGAGGCCGAGGCCAAGAAGTTGGCCTACCCCAAAGAAGAATAAGAAGAAGACTTTAAGGGTTCCGATGGATGCGGAGGTGGAGGAGACCATGTTATGTAGATGTTTTTTTTCTATTTTTAGTACTCTGTTTACTTTTGTATATATATATTATTTTTGTCAAGGATGCTTGGCCTTTGTAAAGACTGTATATAATATAAGGCTCGTTTTTCCCCTTTGACAGTTTACGAATTCTATTTTCCTTTGTTTTATTCTTTATATTTGCAAGGATCGAAATGCCTTAGCATAAAATAGTTAAGTCATGTTCGGATGTTTGAACAAGGCTTGCCTTTGACATTATTTTATTTAAGGCATCGTGGGAGTTCGGTATGATCGGAAACTTTTTTCCCTAAAGTATTTATGATTTTTTATAATTTATCGAGGGTAGCCTTTAGAACCGATTATGAAATTTTGAAGGCCTTGTTTTTTTTGTTACGGCTCTCGGACGTCTCCGAGCCGTTTTAATATAGTCGTAGCCTTTTTAGTTCGGGTTGCCTAGCAGGCTCGTTGCCCCGAGTTATCCGGGCTTGCCTAAGATAACAGTCCCCGAATGGGGATGGTCATAGACTTTAGGGTTCGGGCATTGCCTAATAGGTCTTGTGCCCCCGAGATTTTGATAGCCCGAGCCGTCCGAGTTTGTTTTTGGACGGAAGTCCCCGATTGGGAATAATCATTTGAAATCGGATAAGGCGGCTCTTGGGCTCGATGCCTTTAAGGGATCGAATGTAGGAAATTCTTTTAAAAAAGAAGAGAAATATTTAAGGGACACGATGTTTATCCGTAATGTAGAAACATCTTTTTATTCTTGTGCGCAATAGTCACACATGTGTACAAGATTTTTGCCAGGGCTCGATCAGTCTATGCAGGCACGGTTCATTTGACAGTTTGGCCCTTGCAGTAAATCCTATCGATCGAGCCAAGACCATTCAATCATAAAGTTTCTTTCCTTGTTAAAGTCGTTATCCGAGGGTAATGCCCCCCAGTGTTCGGGGCTGATCGTAGAAAGGCCTCGAATACTGTTGTTGTGATATTCGATACCGGTTCGTAACCGGCCTTCAATTCTAAGTTAGCACGATCTACTGTTGCCTCGTTAAAAACCTTGCGGAAAACCCATTTGGAAAAAAATCGGTTCAAGGGAAAAAAAGTGCAATGCGTGCTTTTAGACCTAAAGATTGTATCGTTCTCTGATGATTGCTTGCAGGTGTTAGTTCGTAATGCAAATAAATAAAAGGAAATGAATGGGGTTGTACCTTAGCAGTAGTATCGCTTTAAGTGAGCTATATTCCAGTTGTTCGGTAGTTGCTCACCGTTCATTGCTCTGAGTTTGTATGATCCTTTTCCGGTGATCCCAATGTTAAGGACTTTCCCAGTTCGGTCCCAACTTCCCTTCATTCGAGTTTCGGTGTTTAGCGTAACCTTCCTTAGTACCAAGTCCCTGACATTGAAGTGTCGAAGTTTGGACCTTCGATTGTAATATCTCTCGAATTGCTGCTTTTGGGCGGCCAACCGGACAAGGGTTGCTTTACGCCTTTCATCCAATAGATCTAGGCTCGTATTCATAACCTCGCCGTTTGATTCCTTGGTTGCATATCGGAACCTGAGACTTGGTTCTCTGACTTCGACCGGTATTAGAGCTTCGGCGCTGTAGACTAGTGAGAACGGGATGGCCTCGGTACTGGACTTCGAGGTCATTCGGTATGCCGATAAAACTTCGGGTAGGATTTTTTTCCATTTTGCCTTGGCGTCAGCTAACCTCTTTTTGAGGTTTTGGAGTATGGTTTTGTTGATCGATTCTACTTGTCCATTCCCACTAGGGTGGTAGGGTGTTGATAGGATCCTTTTGATCTTATTATCTTTGAGAAACTTACTTACTTTGCTACCGATGAATTATTTCCCGTTGTCGCATACGATCTCGACCGGCATTCCGAAACGGCATATGATATGGTCCCAAATGAAATTGATGACTTCTTTCTTCTTGACCTTTTTGTATGCCTGGTATTCCACCCACTTAGAAAAA